GAAACAAGTAATTGGAAGAATTGCAGAGAACAGAGTATAAGTATAGAAAATTCTTGTTTAGCAGAGTGGTTGCCTCGCTTGGTGTAACTGAAGTTTGAGGGTAAAATAAAAAAAGTTAGGTTGTTTATTTACTATTACCACCGACACATCCAGCTTTTACTACTCCTGACATTATGGGCATAACATTTATTGATTCAACAATTTTAGAAATCAATACAAAATTATTGATTCCATAATATAAATAGGAAAGTAGATCCATGAGTAATCACGCAAAGAATATAGAGCTAATATACGACAAAGTTTAGGGATTTATTAGTCATTCGGATCTAACTTTATCATCTACCAAATCAAAGACTTCAACGGAGGCCCTGTGAAATAGGAGTTAGTACAATCTTCTTGCTTTTTTTCTTTTAAGAAAGCAAATGATTTGAGCTTGCAATTACCCTTACCCTCCGAGCATTCTGAAAAGGGACAGAATAAATAATGTAGTGAAGGTACACCTACCATCTTTAATATGATTGTCAATTTGTCATCCTTTAACTTAGATGCAATTATTGAATTTTAATTCGTTGATGGTTCAATTAATACACGGAAAATTCTCATCAAATTCCTTATAGTATTATTTCCAATTGAGGAAATAAAGATTCTTTAATGAAGGATTTCTTACCATTTAACAGTGTGCCAATTGTGGTAATTTATTATGTGTTTTGTTTGACAAGTTTTTTTTTGATAATTTTGTTTGATAAGTTGAGAGCGTAGAAAAAGGAAGAGGGTCAATTTAGACGCCGGGGTAACTGCCACAAATTAAGGCGCGAGTGTGCCCCGCTTTGGTGGAATGGTAGGCAATTCGTTACGGTTTAAAATTCCAATGCGACTAAAATCTACGTGTCGCGTCTTTATACTAGAAAATTAATTGTAACTTCAACTTTATTTTATACAAAGTCAATAAATGCGATGCATGTTCTAAGGCTTGAGAAAGTAATGCTTGTCGGCTATTCTTTTTTTAATAGAGAAACTATCAATACTCCCATTGTCCCTAATTATTTGTCTATTTATTCTTTTATAGTTGTTTCTAATTACTTATCAATTTTGATAAATAAAGAAAGTACGAATTCTTTTTACCTATTATATCCTCAATTAAATGACTAATTATTTTAAAAAATATAAAAAAATTTCATCCACTTCATAATTAATAGGGATAAAATGGTAAACTCACTATGTCATTAATTATTTTTTTAATAAGTGTGCTAATTCAAAAGTGGACAAGTAATTAGGGACAGAGGGAGTATTACTCTTGAGTAATTGTGAGTTTGTGACCTATTCATATTTAACAAAATGAGTAATTATTATTTTTATTGAATATTTAATAAAAAAACATTTTTAAACACTTATTTTAAAGTTAAAAAAATAAAACTAAATCAAAAATCATAAATTAATAATTTTAATTTATAATTTTTGACTTACAAGCAACAAACTCTAAAATTATCTTTACTTCACACATAACTTAGTCAAACATAATTAAAAGACTAATAAGAACGTATTTGAAAATACACACGTCCATTAATGACATATTTGATCTAATTTAATTTTTAACAATTATACAACAACTTATGAAATTAATATAATTTCTTAGCTCGCTTTCTAGTAACGACTATAAAGGAAGGCGAGAACATAATTGTCAAGTAATATTTAAAAATAAAAAATTACTACAAATGTTTTACAGGGCATAAAATAACGAAAATCAAATTGATTTTTTTAGTAATTTGATATTTGGGAGAATTTTTTTAGAATTATGGTATTTGGATTTGGTATGAGACATTAGTAACATTTTGTAATCAGTATTTCCTGAATACCAAATTATTTACTTATAAATGTTATGTATCAACATGTCAATTACTCATTAGTGCAAGTCCAAAGAGAAAGTTAAAGAATAAACTTAAAACAACCCAAAATATATGTCTTTTAGTTGTATCAATTCGCCTCTATGGATGTCTTCTTACTTGTCGAACTTCTAATATATGTTCCTCCACATAAAAAAATATAAATAATTTAAGAAATAGTATTAACTTTGTAATAATACAATCGGTTACAACTTCAATACGGTATTACTGAATACACTACCAAATCAAAATTTGAAAGGAAAAAAAAACTATCTAACTAGACATACATTATTATGATACACAATCGTGAACAAAAGCAAAAGTACGAAGTACGAGAGATACACAAAAGAAACTATATCAGATTCGTAGAAGAATAGTTCAGATATATAGAATGAACAAATTAGATACATTTAATCCTTAACTATATATCAGATACACAGAAAAACAATTTAGATACATAAAATGAACATATCAAATACACATAAAAATGATTTTTTGAAATTTTCTGAAGTTTTTAAACACATGATTTTCTCCTTAATTTATGTCTTCCAGTTACATTCCTTATTTAAATTTATTTAATTATATATACCTAATTAACATATATATATGAGTTATATGTATCCAATGTGCGAATCATGGTAGGATTAGTAATATTGCACTCACGAAAAAAAATGTAATTAGCTCCTAAATTAGTGAAATTTGTGTTGTTTACCCCATGTAAAATTTTAATATTCGAGATCTACTTTTAACTACTAATTACTGAATTACTAAGCCCAAAATTTGAATATCTCAAATTGAATACCGAACGCCACCCACACCCGCTAATTTGCAACGCTTTGTCACAAAAAAAAGATTTATCAACTACTACTCTTTTGATGGAATTAAGACAAATTCAAAGAACAAATAAAGATCAATCTGTTGTTACACTCGTTTGACTAAAGCATTTCATTAGATAGAGATTGGCGACCTGCTGAGTTTTTAGTACAATGGCATGACGTTGACATTATCTATGACTCTTTATGCGAGAATTAAGTTACACTTAAATGTTCAAGTGAGTATATACAAACTTTTTAAGAAACAAATATGTAAATATGTGACCGGTTGTGTAAGTGATCTCTCAAATGAGAGTTTTAGGTTTGGAATCTTCTATATATTATTTTGGTCAAGCTTATCACATGAGGGTTGCTTAGTACGATTTATCTTTCTTTTTTTGTGATTTGCAGGCTATTATATTGAAGCGAAGTTTACCTTGTGCGCATCTGAATAATAGCAGCTGCAAAATTCTTTACCAAAAGAAAAAACGTTTTCTATATATATTTTGATTGAAGTTACCACATTGTGTTAAAAATATTCCTTCAAGCCGTGAAAGATAAGTAGCCGATTTGATGCTATTTGGTTAAAGGAAAAAAAACATAAATATTTAAAGTTGAAGATTTAAACAAAATATGTCAAAGTTTAAATTATGTAAATAATTTTATTTAGTAAAAATCAAGGTGTTATTAATAACAATCATTATTTCCTTTGAAATACTGATCTTGAACAAGTTTTTCAATTTTCAAATATTGAGAAAATTGACTTGTTTATTAAGTTTCAACTTCATGGCTTCGTTAGGTTGGATTAGATATAGCCTTGTCTTGTAGTGAGTAGTCCTTGATAAACAAAGTCACAATAATGTACATAATTTTTCCTACTAAGAGTTGTAATTTTAACAATAATTTAAATCTTAAGAAAGTTTTCTTTAGTTTTTTTCTTTTAAATTTCGATTCAAGAGTTTGAACTTGATAAATTGAATTTGAATATTGAAGGACTTAAAAGTTAATCTTCCATCAATGGAATAAACTTGTCAGTTTAACTTGATTACGAATATAAATACAAACTTTAATAACAAAAGACAAAAGTAGAAGTAGACTTTAACGTATGAATTACTCATTATTTTTTATTATCATGAAAGAAGACTCGTGTATCACTCCATTTTAATGTATTAGCAAAGATTTATTGTAAGAAAATAGAGCTGTACAAATAAAAAGAATCAATCTGAAAGACAAAATAGTGAATTTGTGCCATGTAAGGGAGATATACATGAGACATAATTGAAACTCATATAAATTTGGAAGCTATATTAGACTATTTTTAAGTAGTAGAGTAATTGGTTTGATTGGCTCATTTACACATGACATGGGCCAAGTGTTAACTGGCAAGAGGGACAGGTTATGGATCTTGTCGTGACCCATCGCTATGTTTGATAACGAAAGCATTCAGAGTATATTTATTATTTACGCACTAATTATTTCATCATCATCATCATCTAGGGTGTGTTTGGTACGATTAAAAATGTTTTCTAGGAAAACAAGTAGATTTCTCATTTATTTTCTTATGTTTGGTTGGTAAGTAAAAAATATTTTTTAATGTTTGGTTGGTGAATGAAAAATATCGACATTAGATGATATTTGATGTGTGTTTACTCTAGCTGATAAAATCCATACTTGTTAGCGCAAGGTATATAACAAACATATACACTTTTTTTTCTCATTTTACAGAGAAGAATCTTTTCAATATTTTTTTAAATTTTATAATCATAACAATTGTAATTGATAATACTTTTATATGATTTTAGATATGGATTCTTACTTCTCAAGCAAATTAAAGGAATATCATAATTTCAAATAGAAGGAGTGGTAAAGTTAAGTTGCTATATTAATTGTATATAAAGTATAGAAACCTCAGTAATTTGAGTGTTAGTTATATCCTATCTTGAAAGTTTTCCAATTTATAATAATTTTGAATTTTTCATAACTCAATACATTGCTCCTTCGCTTGATACATAACAAATGCTACATGAGTTATGTATAGATACATAGTGATTTAGCTTTTAAATAATTGGGGTTATGTATCAATAATAACATTTGTATCAGATACATTGTATACAAACAAAGTTGTAATGTATTCGATAGAAATGGAGTGATGTATTCAGATGTTAAGAGAGAAAGAAAAATAAATTTTTGTAATTAATTCAAATGCTAGAAAATTTTCTAATTTAATTTTCTCACTTCCTCTTAAATTTTCATGATCTTTCGCTTGCTTCACCTTCTTTCGTAAGAAGCCCAAATTCTAAGTACGTGCCCTTTTCTTAACAGGCCCACAGCCCGAACCGAGATTTTGTAAGCTCGTCACGTCCCTTAAACCCTGAAATCTGAATCTCATCGTTCCCAGTGGGATACAGTAGTAGTGAAGCAAAAATCATGGCGAGGCGTTGCATGTCGTTTTCTCGGACACTTCTATCCAGCAGTAGACCATCAACAGTAGGTTCCTCTGCAAGTGTACAATCTCTTCTCGGCCAGCGCCTTCAGTCTCGCCGTTCTCTTTCCACCATTCTCACCAGGTTCCTTTCCCTATCTCGGTTTCTCCTATATATTTCACTTAATTTAGGCTAAACCTGACTTTTTAAATTTGTTAAATGTATTTCTTTCAGGACTAACGGAGTACTGGGATGCGTCCAATCGCTCTTACCGCTTCACAGCGCTGTGGCGGCCACCCGTCTGACATCACACATTCAAATGGAGGCGCGCACTTGTTGCCAGTTGTCTCAGGGTACCTTTTTCTGTCGCACTTGCCCTGATCGGTAGTTTTCAATTGTGAGTCCTAATTTCCGCACCTAATGCTGATAAAAGTCGCATTTTTGCAAAGTAGTTATTCAGGAGGATCAAAACATTTTGAGTTCTGTTCTCCTTATATAATTTCCCAATTCTATCTCTTAGAAGATCACTTCCACTTAAGCTTTAAGGTTGATTTTGGAATTGAAATAGAGAATGCTGTGGTTAGACATGCTATGTTGTAGGAATGGAGTATTGACTAATCAAGAATTTTCATGAAGATGAACGTTGAGGAGATGAAAATGCTGCGATGGATGTAAACAAGATTAGGAATTAAGATATTTGGGACAAGTTAGGCGTGACCTCGATTGACGACAAGATGTGGAAAACAAAGTTGAGATGGTTCGTGCATGTGCAATGGAGAGGAATGGATGTCCCAGTGCGAAGTTGTGAGAGGTTGGCTAGAAAGAATTTCATGAGAGGTAGAGGTAGACCAAATAAGTATTTTGGAGAGTTGATTAGACAAGAAATTAGGCAACTTTAGCTTATTGAAGTCATGACCTTAGATAAGAGATTAGATAGGAGGTTATGGAGGATATTCATTAGGGTAGGAGTTTAGGTACACAGTTGAGCATTGTTTTGCTTATTCTCCTATACTATTAGCTGTGCTATTAGTTATAGTATTACTCATGTAGTTTATTGTCCTTTGAGTTTGGTTATTATCTGTGAGTTTTTTACCATTTGATTATAGTTTTATTTTCACATGGCTGCTGTTTAGGATGATTTATCAGGTTGTCTATTGTGTTTTGCCATAATTGTTTTTTATTGAGATGAGGGTCTATCGAAAACAACCTCTCTACCTCTAAGTTGTATTCAGGGATTCGTTTGAACTTGAAATTGTATTAAAATAAAGTTGTATACACGGACTAAGAACTTGGATTTGTATACCGAAATTTTTAGGAATTTGAAAAACACTATAAAGCTATTTTCACTTCAAATAATCACACAAATTCAAAAATAACTCCAATTTGTGTTCATAGTTAAATACAACTCCAATTTTCAAATATCATTTTTTCACTTTGAAAACAAAAACTACTTTTTTCAACTGCTCACAATTTTCATGGCCAAATGCCCCCTTATATTATCAAGTAGTTTTAGACATAATGGAGTTGATAAATTCATTTAATCAAAGTAAGGGTTGTAGAGTGATAGTATGTCTTTAGGTTGATGACATGCTAACTAGGAACTAAGCATTGATGAACTAAGAAGTAAAAAAGATAAAAAGTATCAAACTATCTTAGGTATCAAACTTAGAATCTATAATCTACTTGTTGTTTTGCTCATGTCAATCTCACTTCATTAACAAGGTATTTCCAAGTTCAATTACATATGGGTGTTAAAGATATAATACTCCATTTGTGTTTTTAATAAATTGGTTAAGAACATGGTTGTGACAGTTTGTAAGTACTGGGAAATTATAGTACTTAAAAGAACGGAAGTGTTTGCTTATATCAATCTCACTTCATTAACGAGGTATTTCCAAGTTCAATTATATGGGTGCTAAAGATATAATACTCCATTTGTGCTTTAAATAAATTGGTTAAGAACATTCATTCTCAAAAAAAAAATTAAATTGGTTAAGAACATAGTTGTGACTGTTTGTAAGTACTGGGAAATTATAGTACTTGAAAGAATGAAAGGATGAGTACTAAGTACAAAGTTTCTATTTACTTAGAAACATAAATCTGATTAAGAACTAACCAAGTCAAGTTAAGGTTGATTAAGTCTTCACCAAATTAATCAAAATTTGGAAGACAAAATTTGCAAGTGTATGAATTTAGGGAGGTAGTAGAACACCATATTATAGAGTGTGTTTGGATGGGCTTAAAACAGGTCAAATAAGCGTACTTTTTGGCTCATTAGTGCAAAGCTCATGGTGCACATATGTTGTCATGATTTGTGTATAGAACTTTTTGTCTTGTCAGTAAAGGAATGATGGATTAGTAGAAAATTATCTTACCATCAATTTTGACAGGCTCTTAAAAAGCTTATACAAGTAATTAGGTTCAAGTCGAAAGACACTTACTATATGCATAAATTATATATTACACCAATCATTGAATGGATGATTTTTAGTGTAGTTAGTGATTGGGAAGAAAAGATAAGACAAGATGTCCCTCATTGGTAGAATATAATATATCTTACCAGATATATTAAATTTGATTTCTCCAAATCTCTCTTCAGTATTTTATTTCAAGTGGTATTAGAAGTGCTTAAAAACACTTCTTTCCTTCACTATTCTACTAATGAGGAACAACTTGTCTTCTCTTCTCTTTTGAATCACTAAATACATTGACCTAACCATCATGTAATACCACTGAATATAAGACGGCCCTAATGTTTCTCATAACCATAACATGATGCATTTCATTGTAAAACTACATGACTTCAAGGTATTAGTATATTAGATGCGCTTTACACATATTATGGTGCGAAAGTGCACATGTTAGTGGTGTTGAACTTTTTTGGTCAAATGGTATTGAACTTTTGTAGGTATTTTCACATACACTCGACTAGTTACTCTAGTGTGAGAGTCTAAGAGTAATGTCAGTATGTTCTCTTTCCCCAGTCACTGGATTTTACTGTTTTGAATATTATGTATTATAGGATTGAATTTATGTAGTGGAAATATAGTATTAAATGTCTTTTAGTTTTAGTACTGTAATGAGTTCGGACTAGGAGCTGAGGCAGAATTTGGAGATCTTGCTTTGTATATGGATATTCAGTGCTAGAATGTAGCATTTCATTCGGATTTTGATGTTAAATGCAAATGTGGTAGCAGGTCCAAGAAAGATGTTTATATACTTTAGCAATTGTTTACTGGGTAGTTCAGGCAGGACTTGAACATAATTTAAGGTATAAATGGGTTCAACACTGGCACTAACTAATGATCCCCATGGTAATTTTAACTTCTCATAAAGTATTCTGTCTTTCACTTAAATTTTTATTCCATCTAAACTAATCATACATTTTTGCAGTAGCAACTCACTGATGCACCCAAAGACATGACACTTTAGGCCTATAAGTTTACGTCAATAGTCAAAATACTAGCTATAGTGCAAGGATGAGTTGTCCAGGTGAGTATGGATCATCATCCCACATAGAACCCAAATGCCTAATTCCGAACATCCTAGGATTTTCAGATCTATAATTATAAAACACAAGATGGAGAAGCCTTTGAAGAGTACAAGAGAGAAGTGAGAAGGAAGCTAAGAAGGCTATTAGTCAATTTTGATGGGAAGCACTTGATGTTTATACAAAAAATTGGGGACACCAGTAGGGTAGAAAGAAAGGTTAAAATTAGCACGCCTGAGGGAGAAGAGATGTAAGGACTTAAATCAGGTGAAGTGTGTTAAAGACAATTCTCAACCTATGTTGCTCGGACTCTTCAAAAATGTCAACGGGTGCGTGTCGGATTCGCCAAAAGTAGTGTATTTTTGGAGAATCCGAGACGGGTGCGGCAACAAAAATGGAGAGTCCGTGCAACTAAGTTCTCAACCACCGTTGATGGGAGATAATGAGATCAAGGTGAGATGGGGAAGCTATATTGATCAATTGTTCAACTTGAACCACCGGTTTTAGATCTCCAAACATCAGTCCGAGATAGAAACTTTAGCAACACTCACAGAATTGGACTGGCAAATGTAAAATGGAGAATAATGGGATTAGAAAAGCCTGTTGTTCAGATGATACCCCCATAGAGGATTGGAAGTATCTTGGAGAGATTGGAGTAGGATTTCTTACTAGCTTACTTTGAAGGGAAGAAAAAAGAACTGAGTGACAGTGAGAAACCCTTGACAGAGAGGGAAAATCAGCTGATGGTATAGAAAATGAAAATCTCTGATTGAAGTACATGAAAAAGTTTCTCTCTCTTTGTAACAAAATGAAGAATGTTTTCTCTGAAAATTCTCCTTTCTAGACAGTTGATTGATCTGAAGTTTTTTTATTCTTATAGGAATTCTTTAGGATAGAGTCATTGTATGTATTTGCTCTATTTTATTTTTTTTGGAAAATGCAGAAGCACCTAAGGGTGTGATCTAGTGGTCAATGAAGTGGATTATGAACCATGAGGTCTGCGGTTCAAATTCCAGCAAAGACAAAAAAACCCACTAGGCGATTACTTCCCATCTGTCCTAGCTTTGATGAACATAGTTACTGGTACCTATTGTTGGTGGGAGGTGGTGGGTGTCCCGTGGAATTAGTTGAGGTGCGCGAAAGCTTGCTTAGACACCAGAGTTGTCTTATAAAAAATATCAATACAAAACACTTGGGTTTATGTCAACTGTTTGCTTTAAAATTGAAAATGGATTCAATCCAATTCACCAGAATCTAAGAAATGATCAAATTAGAAAATCATTTCTATTTTGATTCTATAAAAATTCAAGTTTCATTTTTGAATGAAGGTAGATGAAACAACTCGGGTGCGTTTAAGAAATTGATGAGATGCAAGAAGTGACAATCCATCTTTTAACCATGTATCTGTTAATGTGGATCATTAGTTGTCTGAGTAGCTTATAGTCTGTGAAACTGTGACTGTTTGTATTCTTGAAAGTTTTTCATCAGCAGGTCATTGTTTTATTCGAACTAATACTAGTGTGGTCTTCATCGAGTGATATTCGACAATCATTAGTAACTTAAGATTCATGAGATTCACTTCTGTCATAACTCATACTGCTTCTAGCAACATCACCCTCTTTGTGGTTTAATTTCGTTTTTCTTTATCCTTTCTATTAGCAGCTGATTGAGGGGCCGGGAAAATATGTCTGAACAAGAAGAGGATTTAATTAGATTTAATGAGCTTACTATACATACTGGGTTTCTATTCAATACAGGCCTGATCACTATTATTATCTTCCATAGGTACTTAAGGATGCATTACGTATTAGCTGGAAAACCTGCTGTACCAAACATTTTGGAGAGTTTTCTGTGAACTTTTCCGTGGAAGTACAAAGCTGTAAGCTCTAAATTCAATTTGCTTTCCTAGTTATTTTTGGGTTGATGTTGGAAATTCCAGAATTCTTGAAAGCCCTGAAAATGATAATTCTATAGGAGAAACTTATAAGAGTCCTTACAGTTTTATGTTGATAGAGATCATCTCTTCATTTGAAGTATTTAAATTTTTTGATATCACTAGTTGATTACTAATGTTCTACTTTACCAAATAAACCAAATTTACATCTTTCTGATTTTCTAATTTGATTAAAGCCATAAAAGCATATGTTATAGTCTTCTTTAGTTACCATTTGATGCAGAACTAGTGACAAGTGCACTAGACAGTTATTTCTGTGATGTATATGAAAATAATGTTTATTTGTATTTATTAAAATGTAACTATTTCTCAACATTCAATTATTTGGTTTTAGGCATTATGAAGAATAGGTTTATGTTGTGGCTAGGAGAAGCTCAGGGCAGTTCAACCCTTTGTCGTATTGAAAGCATACCTATTTGTATATTTCCATGCATCAACTGAAGTTTCTATGTAGGTCTAGTTCCTTTTTTTTTCGTGCAAGCTTTAGATAGCACTAGGAGTTCCAGGGAAGTATTAAACATGCATTCCAGTGCAGTCCAACCTACTAAAAGAGTTGGGATAAGTTGCCGATGGATGCCTTTAATTTTGTGCATGGCGTTGCCAACATCTTCGCATATATCATAGGTTCATGATTGCAATTTTTGTCATTACGCACTGGACCATTCTACTTGAAACATAATGTCTTATATCTGAAAGCACAATGTGACAATGTTAGCACTTTTAATACATGCAATTGTGATCCACCTGACATTGAGCCGTGGGCTGGGTATGAGCCGTTTTCTACCTGGTAGCTTGTAAATTCACCCTCAAATGCTTGCTCCCCATTGCTTAGTTCAATCGACAGAGGCTGAGGGAGTTATGACTTAGCCTTGCTACAAGTGAACTAATCTGGTAATTAAGTGGAGAAAGGTAGAGGGGCCTGATCTGTTATCCTTGAGTTTCGAAAGCCATAGTTTGGCCTAAGGTTGGCCATAAAAAAAGTTGATGGTCAATGCTTGCCTGCTCCACTTAGATGGAAAACATTTTCTTTATACATTTAAAAAAATAAAATGAAAGTCGTTCTGGAATGAGGATTTTGGTATTTGGGTGGATTCAAGAGTTGAAGTCTAACCTGTTTAGCTACCTAATTCTAAGATGCTGAAATTGATCTTAGATGTTTTCTTGGTCACCAGTCGATGGGTTGTTTAGTCTCCGACCAAATTGGGGTGCTACAAAGTTCAAAGTATTAGGGCCTCTAATTGTTTTTAGTATCACCCATTAGCAGAGTATCCGTTTTCCATAATGTCTGGTCAAGTGTTTCAATTTCAGGTGACATTTGATTCAAACGTTTGACTCGTTAATTATTGCAAAGCACACGTTGTCTTTGAACAATATTTCCCATATTTTCGAACCTCCGGAGCGGAGCTATACCTAAATCTTAATTTGAAACCCGGATTTTTTCATTAGATATCTACTACCTTCCACCATCACAACGTACAAAGAAATCATCTAGTATTTGTTTATTTTTTGTTTGTGATACCCCAGATTTGTAGTCACCTACCTAGGTGCCTTTACTTCAATTTTGTTTCTACTCGGAGTGGGGTATATCCTGCATACAAATTAGCATTAGTTGACCATATACACATAGCTATGGGCCCTAAGGATCACTAATATAAATTTACTTTCGTTAGTGATTTCACCCAGAGATGAGTTGTCATTTTTGTTCTTTTAAACTATTTATTTGCCTACTTAATAAAAATGATTTTTGCAGATAGTTGTCTCTTTCTGTATGGAAAGAGCTACAGTTCTACGTAAAAACTTACCAGCACTTGGTGCTTTTGTTTGTAAAGAAATAAAAGCAGTCTATCAATATTTTAAAAAAAGAAATAAGCCCTAGAATTAGTGTCATGATCGGCAAATAAACAAGCAAGGATGGGGAAATAAATTCAAACGCCAAAGCAGATCCATTTTATACTTTTAAAGACAAAGTAGTAGTTACTCCACTTAACAGACACTTTAAGGATAAATCAATCTGCTTTTTTTGCAGAGAGAGTCATTTCCCATGTGCTTTGCCTCATATATACCAGAACCCATCACTTTCTTTTTCTCTCTCTGTACTTTTTCATCCCAATCTATACTAAACCATCAAGGATTCCAGTATTTAACTTGTATACACGGGCAATATAACTTTTTTGAAACTATTAGTGTCATTTGGTTTGCTTTCTAGAAATTAGGGTTAGAAAAATGTTTTATACTTGTTAGTGTATAAAAGTTAAACTCGAAAGAATTTATCAAGGGGGTAGGGTGATGATGGGAAAGGAGGTAGTAATTGGCAAACAGAAAAGATATGTGTGATCAAACATTGCCAAGAAAAGCTACAACACATCAGGAGGATGAGCAGAAAGCAAAAGGTTGGGAAGGGAGACAGTCTGCTTGATTCTTTTACCCACCTCATCACTATTTAAGACAATATGTACAGTTCAGTTCCCAACAAAAGGATGACAAACGCCAAAACATTATATTGCAATTAATGGAAGTAAAGAAGCAAAAAAACAAACATCTCATATATGTCTAGTGGATATATATAACCAGAAATAGCATAACAATAAGCTATGCATTTTACAGCAAGTTCCAAAAGGATCAGAAAATTTGTCAGCTCAACATGTTTTCTTGTTACAAGAGATAAGGATTTCTTTTTTAGGCTAATTTAATTCGAACTTTAGAACTTCCATACATTGTTAATAGCATGTATGATAGACAGTTGAATGATTATAACCTACACCCTGGAGTTGAACCTTCTGAAGGTTCAATTATTCATCCTTGTATGATTTTAACATATCCAATCGACTTTAGACACCGTTGATCGCGCTTTGCCATTTTCTAAAAGAAAACAATTTACTTCTGATTCCCATAGTAAGTCACATCCTTAACATATTATGTAGTTAAATATTCCAGTCGACAACCTTGAAGAGTGGAATCTAATCAAAGTGATGGTATATATGTTACGACCAAAAAGATGTTCTATCCCTTCAAGCTTTATGAAAAGTGAACTACTATTATTTACTGTTTTCCTTTTAGCTTCCATCACTCAAGTGCTTCGTTTCTAGTCTAGAAACATGCATTCTGCTTAAAGTGAAAAACAATTCAAAGGGCAATATATATCGCCTTTTAGCTATAGATATCTTAAGCACCGTTATCATGATCTTTAAACGATTAATTAATCTAATCAAATGTTGATGAAAACCCCTTTTTGATTTTCTTGTCACTTGTGAAGTTCTTTTTGTCCCTCTTGGTGCTTTAATGTCTGTATTAGCAGTAATTATTAAATCAACTATGATTTAGAAAAAGTGAGCATATAGGATTAGAAATGATGATATTCGGGGACATGGTTGTAGTGACTCCCGTGATGAACAAGATGAGAGCAGTGAGGTTGAAATGGTTCAAACATGTGAAAGGGAGACTCTAAGTGAGGAGGTGCGAGAAATTAAGAATGGTGGATTTAAGGAGGTAGATGAGGCTGAAGAACTATTGGGGGGAGATGATTAAATAGGACATGACACATCTCCAGTTTATCGAGGACATGACCTTAGACAGGAGAATATGGAGGTCGGGAATTAGGGTAAACGGTTAGTAGATAGTTGAGCAATTATCTCGCTTTAAAATAAGCTTGGTTGGAGGGCCGTATCTGCTTCTCATTTCTTACTGGTTGTTTTAGCACTATTCTCATATTTTTTACTTCAATTTCTGTTATTTCCAATATTTCAATTATTGTATTATTTAGCTAGTTGTTACTATTCCTTCTTTCTATTACTATCTGTCATAATTTCTTTACTCATATTATTATTATTTTCAAATCTGCTTTGAAATGCTTTTCTTTGAAAGTTCGAGTAGATGGCGGTCGTAGGTTCTGCCAAACTTAGAGGTTCCTATAATATTAGAATCTACCCTTATGTGTGAACGCGATGTTCATTTTACCATGCATACATTTAAAACGAGATTCTATTACGTACTGTAGTGGATTTTATTGTCTACTACTCAAGGAACAACCTAATATCAACTACGGAGAAATTAACATATATAGACCATATAACATAAGACAGAAAGTTAAAGACAGCAGTGAAAAATATCTTTTTAAAAAAGGTAAAAAGTATGATAAGTTACTAGAACCACTTCGATGGATTCATTTAATTTTGTATGTCTTAGTTTGATCAATGGATTTTGTAATTTTGAATTAAATATATGTATAATATAGCAAAATATTATAATTTAGGGAGTGACATTTTTTTAATTAAAATGATTGTAACAGAGAGGATATGCAATCATTGTTTCATTGCCTTATCTCTGTTGAACTCCTCAACGAAAAGTCTATGGTAAAACACTTCCTTTTTTCAAATCTTAACTCAGACTTTTTTGTTTCTAGATTTGTCGTATATTTGGGATAATCAAAGAAAGATTGGTCTTAATTAAGACTTGTAAAAGTCTTACAGAAAATAATTGTGCCTAATTACCGATATAAGATGACAAACAAAACGCATTAATTAGTTAAGTAGAAGTTTCCAGCGTGGGTACAGAGTTGACTTTCACATATCGGATATTATCATAGGAATCCACAAACTTTATTTTTCAACAAAGAAAATTTCACGTCTGTCTGTTTTCAAATGAACATTTAAAACACGTTTAAATTTATGTTTAGTCATACTCATGGGAGGAGCTAAGGGACACAACGGATTCACTCTCATCAAAAAATTATACTATACATATTTTGAATTTTTGACACTATTGATTTGATAATATATACTTGTATCTTAGTTCAATGATACAGAAGCATTTACAATTTGTCTAGTCGTTCTTTGGGAAAGAAAATACGACCACGACACTGCATAATGAAATAAGTGCATGAACGTGTGTATCATTAGTCAAAATTACTATTTTTACAATCTCTTCAACTGTAACTATATATGTATAGTCTCTATGCGTTCCAGTCCAAGAATGTTTTGTACACGGCAAGACTCTTAAAAAGTCAATTATTGTGCACCTTGACTAACTTGGTGTCCGGGTCAGTGATTGTGCACCTTGACTAACTTTATGAGATACTTGGTAGTTGCCACCTCTCAGTAGCAAC